AGTGTATTGACGGGTGAAAAAAAGCTTCCCTGGAACTTAACCCCACCCCCATTTACATTAATTCTTATGGGGAAATTGGATTCACTTAACATCTTTTCGTTTAAAGTCGCATTTTTCAGGAACATAACTACATTAAGTGAGGAATTACTGTATATGAAAGTATCCAAGCAAAAAGCTCAAGTACATTGTATTATAATAGTCAATTAAGTACACGCTCAAGAAAGAAGGTAGGTGTGTGTGTGTGTGTGTGTGTGTGTGTGTGTGTGTAACAAATCCCAACATTAACTGCTTCCTTAGGACAACAATCCTACAATGCCACAAAGCATGACATTAGAACCTCATTCTCATTACAGAACTGTCCAGACTGAAACTCTGCAGGAGGTATCATACTTTCTATCCAATAGCATTAAACCTCCAATAGCTACTATCTCCAATCAGATGAGTTTTGAAGTCGGGAGCTTTCTTGGAGGCGATTCAGTATTGTGCTTTTAATTCAGACAAACAGTCCTCACAACTGTCATTACAGTCGTTTGCAAAGTAAATTCAAGAAATATTTTCCCTTCTGTCAAGTATAAAAAGCCAGTCTTTCGCAGCATTGAATCTCTGGACAGAAAAGGCATGTCTCCTGTGTTGAGATCTGCTAGGCAGCTACGTGGCCATCAATAAATAAATTCACCAATGTTCTACTTATTGGTCAAGTCAATCTTTTAGCCAATGCCATTTATTGGCAGAAGGCTTCTCCGGACCTAGTATCCAGGGGGAGATGGACAATATATAATATAACCTATTTTGGATGTCCATGTTTAAAAGATGATCCCACTTCCCAACCCTGAAGCACACTACTGTGAAAATCCCATTGTAATGGATCTGTAGACTTTAGCACAATAAAGTATAGGAAAATTTCTGTTCTCACCTGAAAAATTCCTTTCTTTGAGTAATAAAGTCCAAAGATCCAGTCTGCCCTGGAGCCAATTTGACATCCAGAGCAAACATGGAAATTGCCATACAAAGATGTGGGTTTGTTTTCATTAGGGAAAATGTCTCACATTCTGTAGTAGAAGCTGTCATGCCTTCTCCTCAAACTATAGTTAACACAATCTGTAATTTACGAAAGCAGAGCTAAATTATCCTAGCTGAGGAAATGGTCTCCAGTGAAGGGAACTTTAGCAGGCAGAGCACTCCTCTGCTGCCAGTGATGGACAAGATTGCTCCTGCCCCCACCGCCAGAAGCAGAAGGAAGGACAATTGTAATGGATCTGTAGACCTTAGCACAATTAAGAAAGGAAATGCTCACAGAACAGAAACCAAAAGAACCAACCAAAAGATGAATATAAGAGGCTTACATGAAACACTCCACTTCTCATGGGACTTATGATCGGAACATATCAAGAGGGAGACTTGCAGTCTCTCCCCCTAAATTTAGTTAAGATTTGTAGTGAGCACTTCTGGCATACACTATGCAAGCAAAGCTTTTTGTAAAAATCAGCACCTCCAGAAAGAAGGAAATTGATTTGCTTCTGAAATCATCTCAATGGAATCATTTGCTTGCTTTTGGGAACAAAGATTTTATACATCTGAAATATTTTATAACTGGGGTTAAGTTTTCATACCATGTGGACCAAACTAACATTACAATACACCTGATTAATTGGAGAATCATTGATTTTAGGACTTGTTTCACCTATGCTATATATAGCAGAAATTTTACATTCTTTAATTATAGTTTAACTATACATAGTCACCTTAGCTCCAAACTCAACCAGATTTGCTAAGTTCTGCACAGACTTGGCGACCAGCGTCAGTGTTCTTGCAGCAGTGGAAGAAGGAGAATCTGAGAGAAACACATATCACAGCTGATTTCAATTGAAACTACAATTAAAATCTTGTATGGTTAGTCACGCCAAAATATTAATTTTCTATTCAATACTCAAAGAGTGATCCTGGTATTACAACCAAAATAAAGATGCAGTTTTATTACAAACAGAGTTGCATAGGAACGGGGGCATGAAAGGAAATCAATGTGGCATTTTCACACCAGACTTCCTACAACAGTGGATAGTTTTTTCTACCTGTGGGAGGAAAATCCCACCATCCTTGGATACACTCCTCACATACTCAAATGAAAAAGTAGTGGTTTCTAAAAAGGCTGCTAGAGATGAACATTAAGGCTTTGTGTGTTAAGTAAAAAACAAAAAACTTCCATAAAAATTGGAAGTTTTCTTTACAGCAGGATGGTGCTTCATCATCAGATTAATGAATGTTTTTCAGTTCAAGAATATACCTAAAGAGAATGACGACACTGGAGCTCTTTATTTTATATCCACATGCAAGTGATCCTGCAGTGTCATGTAACTCTGGCTACTAATTTATATTTTAAATAAAAAAAGTACTAACCATGCCCATTTCCTTTCAATGGAAAAAAGAACACAAGCTAGACATCATATACCAACTTAATTTTTATCTGTCAATCTGTACAGTAAACATATACAGGCTAATCAAAAGGCAAGAATTCATGTGCTGAAGATATATCTCAAGCAGCTAGGATTTCTTTGTGCCCATTCCATTGCCAGAAATGGGACACGGTGAAAATGTTAGTACCAGGAGATGGTTATTAGTAGAGAGCCAGCTCTGCTATAATTAAAGTTGAATACCACTTTGTTTAAATGGGACTATTCTAAAGGCTATTCTATATGACAATACTTATTCAGAGATTGTCATGTAATTTGCAGTACATCCTGGGGGTGCTGCAAAGTATTAGTGGTCCAAAGTTGGGGTCTCCTGAGCAAGGGATTCCTGATGTACTGTTCCCTAAAAAAACCTGTATTTTAAAATGAAATTCTTGTAGCTTTCCACACACACCTGGGGCTCAAATATGGCTCTAATCGTCCCACAGCTAATTTCAGTCAGTTGGCCTTTTTCTCAGCTAGTGCACAGTACTACTTGCTCTCTGCCTGCAGTCTGTTTTTTGGAAGTTTTGCCCCAAGACCAAAATTTCTAGTTTTTAAATTGCTCTAAAATCCATATGCAGAGTCTCATTTTACTTCAGAAATACTGTCAAAAAATTAGCATTGATTAAATAAGGGAAGATGAAAGACAGTTATAACATAATCATGTTTCCTGAACAACGGAACTCAGTGTGATCAAAAGAAATCAAGTCCCTGGATCATTTGGTCAAGTGTTCCCGATATTCAATCATCCTAACAGGAACTGTTCATAACATTTATCCTTTTGTTGTTGTTGCTGCTGCAGCAGAGTGAAGGGATGTAGTGGGAGAGTTTAGAGTAGTGAAGGGGAATGAGGGGTGTATGTCAGAGCAGGGCACATGGAGGTTGAAAGGAGGGATTAGGATTGGGCAGAATACAGGAAGAGGGGTTTGGGGCTGCAGTAAAGGGAAGGGGGATTGAGATAAATAGGGAGGGTGATAGGAGAGGGAGATTGGGAGGGAAGGCATGTGGTGGGAGTGCTTTAGGTATGGAAGACAATGAGTCCTTCTCCCTGACCTCCATGTATGAACTAGGATCAGGGGGTTCCCTGACTCACTGGCAGGAATGAACACCTCTCCCTGCACCCTCTTCCTATGGGTGAGCCAGGAACAGGGGCCTTGCCAACTCACGTGTTCTGTTCTAAAGTGTTCTGTAGCATTTGTAGAGTTGTAGTATGTGTGTTGTTGGTGGACTGAGGCATCACAGAAGGTTGCATCTTGGGGGTGGCATGTATCTCAAACTCCAAAAGCCAGGAAATACAAAGCAGAAGTTTACTCACTCCCCACATTTTGGAAGGGAATGAGACAACTCTATGTTTCTGGGCATTTAATTATGAAACAAAATTAAAATACTATTTGAAGGCAAAACAAAAGTTTAAGTAATTTGTGATTGTTACTAGACCAGGGGTTCTCAAACTGTGGGTCGGGACCCCAAAGTGGGTCGCGACTCCATTTTAATGGGGTCACCAGGACTGTCTTAGACTTGCTGGGGCCTGGGCCTGAGCCCCACCTCCCACAACCTAAGCCTAAGCCCCACCGCCTGGCGCCCAAGCCGAAGGCAGAGGGCTTCAGCTCTCAGCGGCGGGGCTCAGGCTACAGTCCCCTTACATGGTGCCCAAGCCTTGGGCTTTGGCCTCCCCACCTGGAGTGATGGGGCTGGGGCTTAGGCTTTGCCGCCACCCCTCTCCCCACCCAACCTGGGGCAGCAGGGCTCAGGCTTTGGTCCCCCCTCCTGGGGTCATGCAGTAATTTTTGTTGTCAGAAGGGAGTTGCGGTGCAATGAGGTTTGAGGATCCCTGTACTAGACCAATCATGTTCAGATCGAACAATATATCATTAAGAGAGCAGGGCATATTTTACAGGTCTTAAAATGAGAGACTGTGGTTAAGCCAGAAACATAGACTTTATCATCTACTTCTGCTGTATAATAGAAATTTAACCATGAGAATGATAACAAAAAGACCGATCCAGCCAATTAAAATAGTTTTTTGGCCAACCAGTGTTCAAAGCCATGTAGCAACATGAAACATTAAAGATATAATTCAGCAAGAATGGCCAATAGTCTGTCCTGGAAGATATAGTGAGTACAGTGACATATTAAGGTAACCCATTTCAATGATTGTACCATTACCACATATTCAAAGTCTGAAGTGCATAGTCACCTGAGATGATATTGAACATCCTTGGGTTCAGGATAGCAGGACAAATCAGTCGGAGAAAAACGAAGCCACTGAAAGGGGAGAAAAGTGTTTCATTCAATAATTAAGTTTTTGTATTTAGCGTAAAATTGTATATTCATTTAAGGTGGTGTGGAAAGAGTAATCTCTTTAAAACAGTTTAACTAGTCATTTTAGATGCTGTGAATATGTTTGTTAATTAAGAATATCTTGCTATTATCACACCTGCAGTGAAGACTGGTCTTGCTCTTATGCTGGGCCAGGTCTATGTCCTTGTGCATGGGTTTTTGAGCTCCCGATGCTTGTTTGGGGAAAACACATGACTAAGGCAGGCAGCACCTTCCAAAGTACAAAATGGCCTTTAGCCATGAAAATCTGGCTTTCCAGTCCAATGCTGAGTATTTCAGCTCAGTATTGGTCAGTTCAGCACCCAAGTAAATCAGTAGTGGCATTGAGTGTTCTGGAACATTATCATCGGTGTACTCGGTCTTTCTTATGGCCATCACTGCTTCAACCACCAAACTTTCGTTTGGCGGATGGAAGAAATGCAGTGTTGCCCTTTCTACATTGTCAGATGACGCCCTACATTAAGTTGATTCTCCCTGGTCCATTTTGCAGCCCAAGATCTTAGGTCCCAGGTCAAACAACGGAGGAAAAATAGAGCTGCTAATCAAAACTACTAAGTCCTTAGACATTCCTCCCAAGGTTTTCCTTAGTCCCTCTACTATTGGGTCCCTACTGATGCAGCCTAACTTTTTTTTTTTCCCCCCCCAGTTTTGGTTCTAGTTTTTCAACCACTCCGAATGTTTCTGCTATTGTCCATACCAATTTGTTTTTCTAAATTACAAGCAAGCAACTGAGCTCCTCTGAAACATAATGAACTGGCAAATCTGACAAGAACAAATGCTGCATTTCCTAGGTCAGTTCTCTTTGCAGCAATATGGAAATGGAATCCTTTTCCTAATGTCTCCCTTCAGCCCTACATTTCTCTGCCTTAAATCCCAGAGTTTAATAAAGAATGCAGCAGTAAAAAAGAGGTCTCAGTCAGAAGTATTAAAATGGATCTGAAAACACAGAACTTCCTTTAGATTTAAGTCAGCACTTAACAAACACGCAAATGGTTGAGATTTGTGACCTTTGCAGCCAGACTGAGATTTACACTTCTGCAGCCATCTGGCTAGCAAAGGACAGAGTACTGCAAACAGCTGCTTTCATATATTTTTTAATCAGAAGATAAGTAATCATTTTTCTTTCACATTCTAAACCACAGAGCTTTCCCTTTAATTTTGCCATCTTGATCAGTTACCCCAAAGTACATTAAAGGTGATAATGTGTTAGCGCACAGGCAGAGAAATTAAACATCTGTGCAAAACTATTGTTGTGCCTGTTTTAACCCTTGGAGACAGTGGATTTTATACATCCTGATAAACAATCATTTGCCTGGCAGTTTAGAAAATGCCTTGTAAAATTTAAGCAATAACAAGACTATAATGAATCTGTGTGTTTGATTAAGAAACTATCTTTTGTATTTTACAATCATAAGCGGACCAGTCTTAAATAGACTGCACTGCATTACTACACAGCCTACTGAGAGGTAGTAAGTTAATTTTCTGATATTCACAAACATTAACACAATAGAATGATACTTTTCATATCCAGCTATAGGATATTTTCCTCTTTAAATATATGAAAAGGAAAGTAACACAACAATCTGAATGTACTTGCATTTTGTTGCATTATTTGGAAGTTTTAAAATCTAATATTCAAGGCCATATTTGCCTCTTGCCTACACCATTTTACAACAGCATCGCTACAGTGACTTCATCTAAAATCAGGCCCTCAATCCTTAGCTTAAGCATTGTGCTTAGATATTACAATGGTCTTAGATAATGTTATGCATTACAGATGCTGAACTGGCATTGCAAGCCAAACTACCTAGCGTGCTAACAATGCGTGTCACTTCCTCAATATAAGACCTTTTCTTTCTGAACTTTTATAACATGCAAACAAATGAAATAACAAGCAGCTTACCTAACAACTCTGGTTCTCATTGTGGTATTGGTTGGCCACTTGTGTTGGACAGACTTCTGCAAACACCCATAAATATATCTCAATGTCCTGTCAAAATAGTAGAGTTAATAGCCTTGACACATTAAGCAATTTTAAATATTTATTTGCCATAATATATGGTAGGAACTGTGCACTTACAAATACCGTAGAAAGCCTTTCACCAACATAAGGTTACCTTCTGTCTATACTTTGTATAGGTACTTCATCAGCATTTGTATCATTGCTTTCAAGTAGGGCTTCATTTTGTCAAAAAACAAATGGATTGACTAAAGACTCATTTTTTTAATTCTTATTTGTTTGTGTTTCCTGTCCATTAAAAAAAAATAATTATATGAAAGGTTTAATTTGGTGAATGGAACTTCCATTTAAATTCAATGGGACATACAGATTTGCTTAAAAGTAATCATATCAGGATGTTAGCCTTCTCCCAAGAAGAACACCTGAGAACAAAGTGTGGTGTTCCAGGCAAATACTTCCAGTCTGTTACCAAGATGGCAGCTGAAACTATAACGAACACAAAAGAAAAATTTCAGTGGTATCTGACCATGGATAAATACAGGACCCTGCTTATGATTTATTAATTGTTAGTGATGCAGTAAACTAATAAACTGATTAAAGAAGATAAAAAGCACATAATGCTGACAACTTTAGATAAGTTGATTTACAATTAAACCATGGAGTAAGTGCAGGGTTTTAAATTTGAAGTAGAACTTGTGTTATGACTATCTTGATTCTAAATTAGTAGTGTCAAAAGGCCAAAACTACACCTCTTATTTAAACTTTCAGCACTGGTGATCAGTACAGATGTTTTCATAGTAAAAGTGTCATCTCACCAGAGCCACAAAGTTTTTAGTGATGCCATAATGTCCCCTTTTTCAGCAGGAAGAGGTGGGGAAAAGGTTGTGTTCAATTCTGCCACTTTATAATTGGTCCCTAGTTTCTAGTCCCACCACAGCAGCCTGAGAATCCCTGTCTCCATGATGGGAACACACAATTTTGCCACTTGTATCCCTCCTCACCCCTAACCAGTTTTTTCCTTAATAGTTATGATGGTACTCTTCCTCAATAAGGAAGGAAGAAAAAAGTTACCACTGTTTAATAGCTAATTCATGCACAAGCTGGCAGGAGGCACTTGTGCAGCACATAGAATTTAACCCTTAGCATATACTGTTTTGCTTTTTCCTGTCACGCAGAAGCAATGTGATATGTGCTCAGACACAGCCCCAAAAACTGAGGAAATTAATCGTACAAAATAATAGATGAGCAGAGGACATGCTGCTACACCAATTTTTGTAAGAAACAATGCTAGTTATGCAAAATGGAATTTCTGATTGAATTTGAACAGCTATTTATACAAAGCACTAACTTACGGAGGCAATATTTCTGCAGCCATGAATATTTTCTCCACCAATTCAGAAAGTATGCTTAGCAGATGAGTTAAGTTAGTGTTCACGTCTTCATTTTTTTCTAACTTTGAAGGATTTAGCTACAAAAAAGAAAAATCAGCAGGTTAAATGAAGTTTCTTTTCCAAAATACCAACAAACAGATTTAGACACCTACGAGATTAAACAAACATTATGATTTAAGGCATGGTGGTAAAGCGTTGTGCTGCCGTACATAAGCCTCAGGGCTGTGGAGCCTCTTGGGACTTATGCTTCAATGCTGGCAGGCAAACAAAAATGTGGAGAGGCAACACTCGAGTTCTAACAGTGTGTGCACAATGCTAAGTGTAAAAACATTCAATATTCATTTTTTTTAACTCAAAATTTATTTTAATTCATTGGGGATGGGTTCACTCATCCCTTTATATTTAAGTCACTGGGTGAAAAGAGGAAATTAGTAGGGTAGGTTTAAATAAACTTGCACTGATAAGCTAAAAATCAGTAAATAATTCAATGACGTTTTAAATAAAAACTTACTTCAAAAATGGACTAATCACTCCTTGAATTGACTGGAAATTCTCAAAATTAGGAGAGAGATGAGCTATCGCCTTAGAATAACCTATAATCTATTATGAAAGAACAATTGCTCCAATTTTTAAAAAAGTTCATAAAATTTACATTAAAAAGCAGAGCTGTGCACATTTTTCAAATACATTTTTAGGAAGAGTACCAAATATAGAAAACATTTTCATGAGAAGTTCTATTTCTAATGTAATCAGAATTTAGTTTCAGAAAGATTAACATTCCCTTAAAGCTAGTAATTTAGACAAAATATGGAACTGAACAACCACTACCTAATAATCTTTTCTTCAACTAAGCCAAGTGTTTCAGAACGTAAGATATATCCAAGTTCTCACCTCACAAGACTGCTTGCTTTCCATTATCTTTAAAATAGAGTCTTTCAGCGCATGATGAACAAAACTTGTTGCTGTAGCTTTCATATACTGTTCCATAAGGGTGCTTGCCAGCGTGGTAGCACGAAATAAGGTTGTAGCTTCATCTGAAGAAATAATATTTTGCCATTATGAAATAAATATGTAACTTCAATTCATTTTAAAGGATGAATGGAGGAGGAAGAAAAAAATTTCCACATGCAAGTGTTATGCACACCTAATAGCTGGATTTACTCACAAAGTGGGAAAAATAGGTGCTGGACTATAATTTTCTCTCCAACATTTTAGTAAATGAAATTCAGAATTAACATATTTGTACTGTACCTTCCATGCTTATTTCCCTGTCATTTAGTGTCCGTAAGAGCAATGACTCAAGCTTTTCATGAAGAAAAATCTTCAGTAAAATGCCAGCCAGTAGTGTTCGGTCCTGTCCACATACATGTGATAAGGCATTGACTACATGCAGCTCCTTCTGTAGTATCAGCTAAAAAGAAAAATTAAACCTTGTAACATTAAGAATTCTAGTATACCACAGCTTCAGACAAACTGACAAGAGGAGCCTATTCCTGCGAAGATACCACTATATATTGCTTGGTGAGCAGTGCATTAACAATTTCATAAAGGGTGTATAATTAAGATCAGCCTCGAAATACCAAACACATTAGCCTTCATACGCTGTTAAACTGCCAGGCCTGACAATTACATTAATTTAATGGGTTATATTTGAAATGTTTTAATTTTGCATGTTAAATAACTTTCAAGGAAAATTAAACTGTCAAAGTAACTTAATACCTCTTTAAACTCACTGTACTCGTCTTCTGGCATGATTTTCTCCATAGAATATCGTGCTCGGACACGCAAAGATCCAGGTTCAATACCCTTTAATGGTATGTGGGAACTCAGCTGAAACCATTCATCTGTTGCATGTCCTTTCTGTAACCGGTTTAACTGACAACGCATAAACACTTAAAGAAAAACATTGTTCAGAGTAAGTTACTTGCAGCAAGGATGGCACTAGTATTAAATATAAAATATTAATAAGTGTACTTATTTCATTCACTGCATTTTACTATAAGTTTATGAATAAAACAAAAGTTAGAATTTCAAACTTCTAATCAGGCAATTTACACCTTTAATAAACTCCTGTAGATGGAGTCTAAGTAAGAGTAATACTTAGAATGTGTTACCAGTTCAAAGCACTATATAGACATTAACAAATTCATGTGTATCCATATAAAAGGGGGAGACAGAAAGGAGAAGTGAATTGCTCAAGGTTACACAGTGAATCAGTGAGAGTTAGAATTACAACTCTGGACCTCCTGATTCTCAACCCTGTGCTCATTCCTCCACACTGTTCAGTCTCACATTACCTTACTTAGTTGTTAGGAAAGACAAACTTTCTCAAAAACAAAATCAGCATAACACAATGGATGTCACACATCTAATCTTTATTATTTTTAGGATTAAATTAAAAATTCATTTAAAACCAGGCTGAGGTGCTAAAGTTAGAAAATTATATTTTTTAATAAAAGAAATAAGACACGTCACACTAAGTGTTTCTCTTCAGGTAACCATTGTGGCCCCCAGTTTCTATGATTTCATCCAGATTATTTACATCTGTATCATAGTAATATCTTGTAACCCTAATCAAGGATCAGAGTCCCACCATGCTAAGCACTATAATCAGTGAAGACAAAGGGGTCCCTTCCCACATATGTCTGACAGCCTAGGTGAATGTCAAAAGTCAGTCCAAGAATGGCAAAATCATTAAAAGGTGAAAGAATGAGTCTCTGTACAGTACCTAGCACAATGGCCTTGGTCCATGACTGGGGCTTTTAGGCACTATCTTAATATGAATAATAAATTATACCACCACCTAAGAAGTCATGGAAGGAACATAGCTAATCAATAGAACTAAAACAGAACAATGACCTTTACTAGTCCATCCACTGCCAGTCACACCCCGCAGCAACTAACTCCTTGACCTGGCAGCTTGGTAGAAAGATGCAGCACCTTTCCTATTGGCTGATTACTTCAAGAATGAGTGTTGGCTGTCCTGAAAAGGCAATTCCTCACTGACAGGCCTCAAGAGACACTAGGTGGAGGTAACATCCTACATAAACACTCCTGTGATGTTTTAAGAGGCATAGCCCAAGTTTCAAGTCATTTTGTCTGTCAGACTGCCTGGACCTTCCATGTAGGTGTCTGTTTCTTTTTCTCTCTCATTATGGGATGTCTATTTTTCCACTGTAAGCACCTCAGGAAACATACTTGTCATCTTACTTCTCTGCCAAACATCATGTATATAGATGGTGCTATGTAACGTAAGTAATAATAATAATCACAGGCCGTCAACTTGCCTCATTTTTGAAGCACTAGGTCTTTTAACATATCAAGGTAACAGGACAGAATACTATCACCTTCACTTTGGGACCTTCCAGTTGCAATGCTAGTATTCATTGGCCTTGATATGGGCTGATATGGCATAATCCATTTATCCAACTCAGGCAAGTAATGGGTGAGATGTTTCATCTTCTAGTTGGCTAGTTGCCTGCTGCGAGCGTGAATGGGTTGATCTCTTTGAGCTAGGTAAGCACAATCCTCTATTTACATGAATCTTGGATTTTCAAGAATATTTTCTCCCCAAGTGCAGAGTCTAAATTTTAATGTCTTCACAAGTCATTTATGCAGTTTGGTTCAATATTAATTTTTTTGTTTTGCTGATGCACAAATGTTATTATTGTCAGGTGAAGTGTACAGGCACATTACCTTACTTGATCGGAACAGTGAGGTAATAAGGCTTTACTCTGAAGTTTCTCATTTTTCTTTTGATTGTGGTAGAATTTCCAAGCTAGAACATCTACAGCCCTGATGCTTAGACTTAAAATCCAAACGACATGACCAGAGGGACTGCAGAGCAGTTGCTCTCTATCACAGAATATGTGTTAATTAGCTTTAAAGGAAAATAAACGTAACCTACCTAGCAACAATTGCTAAGAATGGTGCGATTTGAAGAGACCGTACTGGACACTGTACTGAACAACAGGCTACTTTTAGTCAAATGGAAATGTATTCCTTTCCAGTCTATCCTTTTATGATGAAACATTAACAGTTGATTTACACATAAAAATAGTGTATGCCATCTTCATCCAAGTGAAAACACAAGATGACAGTTATTTTGAATGATTTGTATATCTAGCTCTCTAAATAGTTCATCTGCTACTGAGCTTATTCCTGACCTGAAGTTATCATCTTTCGATGATAATCCTTGCCAAAAGCAATTATCACAGAGCACTGTAGCTTTCTGTGGGGAACAAGCAGAAGCAGATGAAGTTTAGCAACACATTTTATTTGTTTAGATTTTTAAAGCATCAATAAGGAACTCTACTTTTTTTTTTTAAGCCAGCCATATGATGTTTACACACATACATATAGATTTTAAACACAAATTGGTGTCAGAAAAATACAGAAAATATGTATTGAATAAACAGAACTGTTCCCAATCGAATGTTTTGCTAAATGATTTATGAATACACTACAGGCTCTTAAATGCAAACATAATTATGAAATTGTGTGTAATGAATATTCATAATGTGCAAACTCCAAAAACAAACACTAAAATAAATATTAAAATGCTGTTCTGAAACAACCCTTGTGTTTACACTCACCTTTTGACACATACTGTTGTGCCTTATGGCAAGAGAATTAAAACACTGAAAAAATTGCATCAGTTTCTTAGCCTTGTAACTTCCAATAGTTCAAGGTAAGGGGCCAGAGCTTGGGCCCTCAGTCTGATTTCACTGCTGGAAAAACATTCTTAACTAGTTGACTGGGGAAAACACAAATGGAATAGAACCAGCAGTACATAACTGCGACACTCTAGCGTAGGGAGCATTTTAGTGGAATGACTGAGGGAAAGTGAGGTGATAAGAGCACCGCTGCCCTCCAGTGATTCCTAGACTCCAGAATGGCTGCCTGGCAGCTTGGCACAAAGTGTGAGAGAGAGACTGAAAGCTTCTTTGGGAAAATACGTTTATACTGCACATAGTAAGTGCTTAATAAGGGGGAATTACTTAGTGGTAATGTGAGGTAAGATAGTCTCCTATTCTCCATCCTAAATAAAAGCACAAGTATGCTATAAGAGACCACCTACCAGGAAGCAAAAAAGACTGTCAATCATCCTGTCTTACATAAGGAGAGGTTCTACTCACCTCTCTGAGGTTAGATACTTCCTCCTTTCCCTAAAAAGAGGGAAGAGAAGACTACAGAAAACCAAATTACCTTTAAAGAAGTTTCACATGTTGAGAGTCATCCCTTCAGCAGTTCGCCTAGCAGTCAGGGATATGGTCTGGGTAAAGAATACCCTGTCAGTTACTGATAAGACTATCATCCTTTTCTGTGAGAGGAGATATATACGGGAAAAGGGCAATATAGAAAATTATCTCTACTAGAGGAGAGAAAGGGGAAAGTGGCTTATAGGTGATTTGAGTTATGGGACAGAATTCACTGGAGTCAGAATTTTTTTGCTTTTATTTCTCACAAATAGCTGCTCTTTATCATGGAGGACAGCAGCCTGTTACTTTTCTCACTATTCCAACATCATATCCATGCTCTAAGAGACAGCGTGGAAATGCCACCTTACCTGTTGGGTGGGCCTCAAAGGAGACATCCAAAGATTCCTCCAGAAGGTGAATTATAGCATTCACAACTCAGGTAATCTATTATTGCCTGAACAACATTGCTAAGGTCCAAAAAAGGACCTTGAACATCAACTCAAAGTGGGTACCTGTGATTTCCTGAGAGACTCAGAGAAGCATTCACCTAGTTGTCACAGAAATCAGGAGCAAAGCCATAGACTCAGTGGGAAGTGAAGACTTTTAATTAAGGGTCACCCCCTGGGAATCTACCATAGAGACATCTGCCTCTGGAACAAAACAAGGGTACCTAAAGAATAGGGTGATATTTAATATCCATCATGGATCTGACAAGAACAAATCATGCCAAACCAACCTAATTTCCATCTTTGACAGGGTTACTGGCCTAGTGGATGGGGGAAAGCAGAAAAATTATATATCTTGAATTTAATAAGGCTTTTGACACAGTCCCACATGACATCTCATAAGCAAATTAGGGAAATGTGGTTTAGATGAAATTAGTATAAGGTGAGTGCACAACTGGTTGAAAAACCATATTCAAAAAGTAGCTATCAGTGGTTCACTGTCAGACTTGGAGGACATAATTAGTGGAGTCTAACAGGAATCTGTCCTAGGTCCAATATTAAACATTTTCATTAATTACTTGGATAATGGAGTGGAGAATATGCTTATACAATTTGAGGATAACACCTAGGTAGGAAGGGTTGCAAGCACTCTAGAGGATAGGATTAGAATTCAAAATGATCTTGATAAATCGGACAATTGTTCTGAAAACAACAAGATTCAATAGAAGAAATTCAATAAAGACAAATGCAAAATACTACACTTAGGAAGAAAATGTTAAATGCACAAATACAAAATGGGAATAACTGGCTAGGCAGTAGTAACTGCTGAAAAGGACTTGGGGGTTACAGTGGATTACAAACTGCCAACAATATGATATAGTTGTGAAAAAGGCTAATATTCTGGGGTATATTAACAGGTATGTCGTCAAACACAGGAAATAACTGTTCCATTCTACTCAGCACTGGTTAGGCTTCAGCTGGAGTACGATGTCCAGTTTGGGGCCCATACTTTAAGATAAAGACAAACTGAAGAGAGTCCAGAGGAGAACAACAAAAACGATAAAAGGTTTAGAAAACCTAACCAATGAGGAAAGGTTAATACAATTGGGCAAGTTTAGTCTTGAGAAAAGAAGATGAAGGGGGACCTGATGACAGCCTTCAAATACATTAAGGACTGGTATAAAGATGATGGAGATCTATTGTCCTCCATGCCCTCTGAAGGTAGTACAAAAAATAACAGGCTTAATCTGCAGCAAGGGAGATTTAGGTTAGATATTAGGAAAAACTTTTTAACTACAGGGCAATTTTGCACTGGAATAGGTAGGTTACCAAAGGAGGTTGTGAAATCTCCTTTATTGAAGGTTTTTAAGAACGGATTAGACAAACATCTGTCTGGGATTGTCTAAGTTTACTCGGTCCTGTTTCAGCACAGTGGGATGGACTGAATGACCTCTCAAGGTCCCTTGCAGACCTACATTTCTATAAGCCTATTTATCTTAGCTTCTAACTACCTTGTCAGACTCCTCTCCTGGTTAACTACCTACAAAACAGCTTCATTTAAGAGGAACAGCCTTCCAGGAAGAGTCTGTTTTAAACTGATGGAAAAGGGAGATAGTAAGTTTCCAGACCAAAGAAGCTAGGAGTTCTATAAAGCCTCAGTGGGTCAGTTAACTTAGAAGGAAGACCCCCGCCCCCTCAATGCATTAAAAGTTCCATCATACACTTTAAACAGCACTGTGTTAAAGCACAATAGGGAACTTTTAGTGAGTATCAGCAGGATCTAGAAATCACCACCCCACACACACACGTATTGTGCATGGCCATACCATGTAGACAAGCCTGCAGAAAATTCCTTACCGTTGTATGAGTATGCACCTTGAGATATTTGTACAAGTCCAAAGTTTCCTGAAACCTAGCTTGAGTAAATATGACCTCGCTATGATGAAGCTGAGAATCACGCCTATGAATTTGAGCTCTGCACATGGAGAAGAGCTGACCTGTCCTTATTGATCAACAGGCCAAACAAAAGTGAACAAAAGAGGGACTAGATCTCTTGATGGTTATCTCCACTTAATGTATGGATCACCCTGCAACTACAAGTCATTCAGATGAATGCCTGCCTAGATGCCGGCCTCCCTAAGATGGGCTGTAATCACTTCCATGCAATTTGTGAAGACTTGAGGAGCTGCAGACAAGCTGAAGGGAAGGAGTGTAAATTGATAACGAACATTTGCCATAACAAACCTTACAGATGTCCTGTGATCTTGGTGAACGGCCACATGGAAGTAAGCATCCTTTAAGTTGAGGGCAGCATACCAGTCATTCGAATCTAGGGCCGGAATGACAGATGCTAGGGTAACCATCCTTACCTTACTTCCTCCTGTGCCACTGGGCTGCCCAGTTCTTCCACTGATTATAGTTTTCGCTAGTTGTACTTCTTCCTAGGTGATGCCAGCACATTCGACACCCTCTGTCAGTATCTTCTCCAGTTCTTCCTTGGCCTTCCTCACTCTCTCTTTCCACCCTCATTACCTAATTCAATGCTTGCTTTTCATGTCTCCTGTCTTCCATATGCTGTACATGTCCCAACTATCTGAGCCTTCTTTCTTTGACAATATTTTCTAACATGTTCTGCTCTGTCAGCTCCCTTAGTCTTATTTATTTTGTCTTTCCATGAAATGTGTAGTATCTCCTTCAGCAATCTATGATGGGCAGCCTCCAATCACCTTTTGTTGTCCACTGTCATATGCCAAGTCTCTGCTCCATACAGTGCTCAAAGCTAAGCTTTAGTTTGACGTGGAGACCTCTGCTTGACCAGATGTCCAACAGGGATGTCAACCCCTTCCAACAGGGTTTTTGCTGCTTCCTGTTCTACCTCTGAGGTAAAGGCAATCATTCCATTCCACATGATACTTAGTAAAGCAATGTCAGTCATGTGACTCATCTCTGCTAACCCATTTTACAATGTCCACAATACCTTTTGTTGCCCACTTCATCATTCATAGACTATCAGGGTTGGAAGGGACCTCAGGAGGTCATCTAGTCCAATCCCCTGCTCAAAGCAGGACCAATCCCCAACTAAATCATCCCAGCCAGAGCTTTGTCAAGCCTGACCTTAAAAACCTCTAAAGGAGGAGATTCCACCACCTTCCTAGGTAACCCATTCCAGTGCTTCACCACCACCTTTGCTAGGCAAAGAGGATTGATAACATACACCCTGGTCTAACTCCAGTCACAATATTGAACCACTCATCCAAGCCTGTACCTGATCTTACTGTGCATCTATTTTCATCATCTAAATGCCTTACTACGTTGATTAGCTTGTCTGGTATCCTATAGCTTCTAGCAATATTCCACAAAGTCTCTTTGTGGATACTATCAAATGCTTTCTTAAAGTTGATAAAGTTGATTAAGACAGGCTTTTGCCAAGCAGTAGCTTTTTCAATGATCTGCAGAAGAGTGAATTGTTCACAACATGATATGCATGGACAGAACCCAGCCTGTTATTCTTGTAATTTTTCTTCCACTATCTTCTTCGTTCTATTCAGCAGGAGGATAGCCAATACGTTTGCCCAGGATTGATGCAGTTTGAGATTTGTGGCACCTTTTGGATTGCTCTGGTGCTTTGTGGTTAGAATGGATACTGCTGATGGAACTGAGGCCAGAACTGCTTTCTCTTAGGGACTGGGGTATAAATACCCAAGGTCCTTAGGGATAACCCAGAGTCTTTAAGAGAATGCAGAGTAGAGTCTGAAACCCTGCACACACTGAGAGACTGGGTTCCGAGAAGCAGTGCAGTGTAGCTTCTGTAAGGAGATGCCAAAGTCATACCTCTCTAAACTTTTTAGTCCTGGATTTAAATCCCCTGTAGATAGGCCATTTATGACTAACATGTCCATCTCCCAAACACTTTGGACAGAGGGAATGGGGATTGCTGATTGGCATAGTGTTATTACAGCCAGAACAGTGGGACTTGAGGCATGCCCCATTACTGAACTTTGAAACAAAAACAAGTACTTTTTAAAAACAAGTATTACTAACAATAACTATACAAAAATGAACTATGTACAACAACAAATAAAGGAAACACTTCTCTTTTAGAGACACCGGGAAGAAAATGTGATAAGCCACACAAGCTCTGATGATTGACTACAGGTGGTGAGAAGGAAATGAGGGAGGGTTGGGTGGCCCAGCCCCTTTATTCCTTCAGCTAGCAACACAAGCGTCCAGAGGGCGCATGCGCCGCCTCGACAGATAAGTTCTCTGGCTTCAGTGCACTAGGCATACATACGTGAAGTGGAATGGACATGTGTAATAATTTGAAGAACTAACCATTAGATTATAAACGCCTTGGGGCAAGACCTTTAGGACGATACAATCCAATGCATTCTATATTGCTATTAACTTTCTGGAAAAGAAACAAAAAGGCAACTGATGAGCAGGCTGTGTGGACACCAAGGGGAAAGGAATGCGCTAGGATAGAGAGAGCTGCTATTGCATACGAAGGGGTCGCTGGGCCTTAGGGTACCACTCCCAACTCTCAAAAGTGGCAGCTGAAATTGCTGTAGCATGTGAGCCCAAGAGTGGGATGAAGAGGGGCCCCGAATAGGGAAACACAGGAGAGAAGGCAGGCTCATAGGGTACTGAGGCTTTGTTAGAAACCACTGTCTCTTCATTCTCCAAAGAATGTTCACTTTTCCCTTTCCTGTTCCCTTTTCTTTCATCCCCTCCTATTCCCTCATAACCCCACAAGGAACAGCAAAGAACAGGAGAGACCAAAGCAAACTCCATACTGCCAGTCTTGGAGAGATCCAAAAGACCAAGAAAGTTAGCCTAGGTGGAGTCTCGCCTTTTATAGAACAGGATAAGATTGACAGCCTATTTCCTCTTGCTTGATGAGAGGTAATAGCATAATATAGTGTAATAGCCAGTCTAGGATACATCTGATGAGATACATAGTTCAAAAATATCTTTTGTCCAAAGTTATTGTCCATTTTATTGCAGTTGAGAATATATACTATTTCTAAAGCTTTAATATGTCAATAAGGTACTTCTAAGGAATGAATACAGTAATAATGTAGAGTAATTGCAGAAATGTATCTTATGTTGTGTGACTGTTTAAAATTATATTTTAAATTCACAATCTGTGTGTTAAGGCCTATGATATTATAATCTATTAAAATCATTTAAATTAAAAATAAAAAATAATATTAAGCAACATATATTTGTTGCCAGGTTTTAAATAAAGTCAAACCACTGAACTGGTGTAAGTCACTGGCTAAGTTCCTGGAATCAGAGTTTGTTGAAGGGCTAAACCAACTTTTGACAACAGTGGCCTCTTCTGCAGGCGCAGAGAAATTTTTTATTTTTATTCTTTTTGTGCATTTCATATTCAACTTGTTCCGCTGAATGTAAACCAATTTGGAGTTGAAAAAAGCAAGAAAGCTTATTTTCCTCTCCCAACATATGAATAGATGTGAGAGGATGAGATCTACTAGCTCTAAAATCTTGAAGAACATGGTGACCACACAATCAGTTCAAAAGTCACTTACTACAGATATTTCCTTTGCTTAATAAATCACTTTTAAATGCAAAATGTTATGATAAATTTTATGATAAACATTTTTTCTTCTGTATCCAGCACTTTTAAGGTAGTTGTAATTTTTAAAAATTAAATCGTTTTTGAGAATTTTTAATCAAATCTGAATTTCCATCCCACTAGAGCTTGACACAAATCACAAATAAAAAGATAACCATCTAGTAAATAAGAAATGTACATTTCACCATTTTCTAACATCATAAAAAATGTAAAAGTAACTTACATTTATTCAGATTCTTAAAACTGCTTAAATAAAAGAGTGTGTACATATGGCATATCTACCCAGTTGGCAAAAAAAAGTATCTAAGAGCGTATTATATTTAGTTGCAATTCAACATATTTTAATAGCTAACAACCAATGAGAATCAATCTTTCTTCAGGAAAATACAAACTACCAATGCAAAACATGATAAAAATCAATTATTTAAATTGAGGTTTCCTGCTTGCTGATTTAAATCATTATTAAAATTGATTATTTAAATCAAAATATAAATCAAACCACCCTGAACAAGAGTGATAAAAGTTGTGCAAAGGGAAAACAACTTTGTTCTCTATTCCTGTAATATATATCTCTCTTTTACAGCAATAAGACTTACATATATCTGGATCTTTACTTTTCTTTGTTTTGTTACTAAGACTTATCTCAAATCTGTTGATATCGGGTGAAAGATCACTAGAGAAAAAATTAGAAAATCTTGATTAATATTGTACTCCTTTGGCATTTAAACTAAGAAGCTCAATTATACATTTTCTATTCTTTTCTATTCTTTAGTTCCACCATCCAGAGAAAACTTTAGCAGCCATACAATTGCCGTTATATTACATTAAACAAACATATTTAGGATGCAACAGGAAAAACGTGTGGCTGAAAGAAGATTATGTATACGCAACTATCTAGCCAATTTTTAATTAGAAATCAAAATTCAATGAATCATCATCAACACACTACCTATAAAGTGTTAAGAAATATCAAGTTTTTAAATGCTATTATAATTCAAAAAGACCAAAACTTACTCAAAGACAAATTCCTCTGACCATACAGGGTTCTGCCCTTCCCTGACATGCGTTTTTGCTACCTGGACACTGTTCAGGTAGATGTTACAATACGGATTAGTGAAGTGTTTTACTGGGAGCGTATGAGCTTCTTCAACATGTAAAATAAGGCTGCTGACCTGAAGAAAATATACAAGATTTAATCTCAACATACAAGAGGGTGAATTTTTTCAGCTCTAAAAAGCTTTTGTTTTAACGTATAAGTGCCAGATGCAAACTAAAATTTGTTGATCAAACCAAGACAATTACTTAAATAAAGGAAAAACAAAGAATAGGAAATAGTCCAGGAATAATAGCAAAATACTGTCAAAAGGCAATAGCACAATAGCTTGTTAGAGGAGTAAGTGCGGATAAATTTAAAAAAGAATCACACTCAACCATTCAGGTCACTGATTTTTTTTTCTTTTTCTCCTAATACATCATCTATTTTTTTGTTCTTTAAGACCATAATATTTATTAGGCATTAGACTTGCTTGTGCTGACTGCTACACCTGCATAGAGTCCTACTGAAGTCAACAGGATTCCAGATAAGCACTGGAGTCTGCGCTAGCAAATCCAAATACAGAATCAGGATTTTAGACCCCTGCTCCACGTGATTTATACTCTAAGATCCTGATTGCCATCAGAATACAAACAATAACTTGTAATTTCTTTCTTGAAACACAAACTTTCTCCATTTTCCAAAGGGGAAACAGTTCTATCTGCACTACAGATGCTCAAATTATAGTACCATTTGATGGTCATACTATCTTTAAATTGTGTTCTCATGGGACATTAGAAAATTTACTAAAATATGTGACATTTGAACTCCTCTCATAGAACTTAGTTTGCACTGAGGACTATTTAGAGTACTACTAAGCACTCTTTGTTTTAAGCTTCATACTTGAAATCTATGGCCCAGTCCAACTCCCATTGGTATCAATGGGAATCAGATCAGATATTTATAGAGTAAACATAGCAAACACAATAGTAGACCAGGACTGTGATCCATCTATGTTCAGTATCCCATCTCCAACAATAGCAGAAGGAGATACAATAAACCTGGAAACTAACAATTATGCAATAACAGGCCCATAGGAAAATTTCTTCTTAATTTCAGAGGATGGTTTAAGCCAAGAAACAAGTATTCAATGAATGCTACTATGCTCTTGACTTCATCGATATCCTGTATCCGTGAATTCTACATATTATTATATGTGGTGTAAACTGTATTTCTTTTTCAGTTCTAAATTAACTGTCTTTCAATTTCATTGATCTTTTCATGTTCTCGGATTGTGAGTGATGCTAACTGGCATAGAGAAATGGTAAATGGAAGTATCTGATTTATGATTTCTATACTTTTTATTATTTTGTATACCTTTATCATGTCTCCCTCCACTTACTTGTCTCCTCTCTAAACAGTCCCATTTTGTCCCACATACTTTATATGGAAGTTTTTTTCTCTCTAAACATTCCTGTCACCACTCTTGGACCCTCCTCTCCCCCCATTATTTCTGATATACTATTTATCTTTTTTGACATACAGTGACCAGAACTAAACACAGTATTCTAGGTAAGTACCACTTATGTACAAAATAGCATACTATTTTTAGGGAGGTTTTTGTCTATTCCTTACGCATCCTAATGTTTTCATTGCTTTTTTTGTTGCTACTGAATAATGTTGGCCATGCCTTTTTCTGGCATTGTTACCGTTAATTTAGAGCTCACAACGAGTAGTTCAAATTATTCCTTCTAATGTGCATTACTTTGCATTTGACAACACTGAATTTTATTTGCTATCATGTTGTCCATTTACCTAGCTTAGTTAGGTCCTGCAAAAGTACCTCAATCTTCTCCGAGCTTAACGAATACATAATTTTGTGTTGCCTGAAAAATGCTGCCACCTCACTGCTCACCCCCTCCCTTTTTTTTTTTTCTCTCAAGATAATTATAATATTCAACACCACCTTTCCTAACATGGAACCTTGTGGCACCTGACTGCCAACTTTCAGTTGTCAAGAAAATTAACATACCTAGTCTTTGTTTTCCATCTCTGAGCCAATTTCTTGCCCATGACAGTACTCTCACCCAATGAATGAAATGAATTAAGATGAAAAAAATGCTATTATGACTTATTATGTACTTGTCTCAAAGCTCAAGAGAACAGAAATATTAGTAGCACATGGCAGATGGCTGCATTCTAGATTTAACATTTAAAAACAAATGGCAAACACAAGGAGTAAACTTTTCAGAAGCACCTACAAGTCATTTTTAAAAATCGGACTTATGCACTTCTGAAAATGTTACCGAAGTTTATCTGGTGATCAGACCTTAGCGCTGAGCAACAAACCTAAAGCCTGCCCATAAAGTGTTTTATTCTATCATATATGGAAGCTAAAACCAATTCTTGAAGCGTAATTACGGCAGGTTTAACAAAATATTGCATCATGTGTACACACACACACACACACACACAATTCAGTTTACAAAGGTCTCAAAGTAAAACACTAAGATTGACCAATATAGTTTTAGAAAAACTACAATATCTATGCAATTTCACCTGACGTAGACGTTTATTAGATGTCCCAGGACTGGTTTTTCGTAAATTGCAAAATGTCTGCAGAGCTTTCATCCAGTCCTATAAAAGACACACAAGATTTCAAACCAAATGAAGTCTGATCATTCTTCTCAAAGAATGGTAGATATAAGTCTGACAAAATGTCTAACTATTCAAATATTTCATTTAGTCAATTTCTTATTTTCACATATTATATTTTAAAAGTTATATGTAGTATTCCAAAATTGCTTATTTTGGAATGAAAGCTACGTTTATATCCATCATCTAAACTGCATAAAGCATTTGCAAATCAGGAGGATTTTCTCTTTTCAAGCATTAATAATAGATATATAGTGTGACCTTTACCAATTTTCCACTCTAATGATACTGTATTAAATTACACATAGTATTTAGAATGAAGCAAAACATGGTTGCTTCTGAGTAAATAAAACTCACATGCCAAGTACAGTGCTCTAATTCTGACCCTCCCCCCAATGTTTCAGTTTTGCAGACTCATTTCTAGCTGTAAATACTGCAAAGGCAAAAAGAAGTTGATTGAAGAAAAAGAGTGAAGGTGACATCCACAGCCTCCTGTCCATCTGCCTCTGGCTGCTCAACCATAAAAATTGCCCTAAAGAGGCAAACAGGGATTCCCTTTGCAGAGGGATATCTATGGGAGGTATAATGCCACCTTAGCTGGCTCTAAACCACGTGTTCCTGGTCTCCGTCAGAGTGGGGTGCTAGAGAGGGCAGTCGTCAGCAGCTTAATGGCCCTTTTCCCTATGCCTACGTAGGGGTAAGTGCCTTGGCTAGCTTGGGTCAGCTGGCTCAGGCTGAATAGATATTTGGGCTTGGGCTGGTGCCCAAGCTCTGGGACGCTCCTCCCTCATAAGGTCTCAGAGTCTGGGCTCCAGCCCGAGCCCAAATATCTACACAGCAATTTTTCAGCTCCTCGTCAGCCCGGGCTAGCCATGGGCTTTTTATCCCTGTGTAGACATACCCTGCAATGGGCAAGAGTTGGAGAAGCCCTCAGACTGCTCTAACTTGTGCTGGGGACCAGTTTGGTTCCCCGACAGTCCAAGGATTGCAAGTGAAAAGTGTGCAGGCCTTTGTGTCCCATCTCCTCAAGCTGTGCTGAACTCTGTTCCAGTGCAGCTAGGGATTGAACCTATAGACTAACAGTCAATCTGCATAATTAGATATCACAAGTAGATATTTGTTAACTACATCTCAGTGCAATACAATACTGCCATTAAAAAAATTGGTTCAATTTTTTACCCTTCAATTATTTTTCATATGTTTAAAATATTGACATATAATATGGGCAGACGTAATTGTCATAATACTCAGTTTAAAGTACACTGCAGCTGGTCTCAAGTAAACAAGTTTGCTAATCAATTTCTTTTTGCGTAAAAACGTTCCATAATGCAAAAGACTTTCAGACTACAGCTCCACGGGAAGATTTAATAACTTTCTCATTGTAAGTAGGGCCAACCACAGCTGCTGAAATACCTTAATAATTATTATACACAATATTTCTGTGGGGGTAAAGAGGACATAATTTACCTTTACTTTTCTAGATCTATTAAATACAGTCCTTCAGACCTTTCCCAGTCATAGGAGAACCTCTCCAACTTCAATGCCACAACATACATTCTACTCCTCATGGCAGTGGGCCATTGTGATCAAGCTTGGAGATGGAAATTTGCATGTGGCTAGAGTTCATTTTATTCACAAAGCATCTTTCTAAAGATTAATATTCTTAATTTTATATCATATCCACATATATAAATAAGAGAACTTTGGAAACTGCTGAAAAGGAAAATTAAATGTCTTAGTCCTACAAGTAAACTCTCTTTCCCAGGGTAAATTACAGATGTTAAATTTACAAACACTGCAGCTGAATAAAGTGGGATGGGAAGGAGGTAGTGGAGTACCACCATACTTTGTCAAAATTTAGGGTTAGGGTTTTTTTTTTTGACCTTTTTAGACTTGTTAGCATTATTGTAGGATATGGAATATGGAAAAATATTTTAAAATGGTGCAAGAACAACAATAAACAAAAACAAAGTTAACTGCCACAGCACTATAAGGAAGAGTACATACAACAAGGTTTTGAGTCACATTAAACTAAAGAAAGTAAACAGAAGAACTGTATAAAGTACATCACTGCTGGCAGCAGTAATTAATTCTGTTGCAGGGTTGATTTCACTTTTTGATAGGTGACAAGGGAGTGAAAGACCCATATTTTGGAGACTTGAGATAAGAATCCCCTTTGCCTTCCCTAAGCCTCACTTGTCACCTCTTCCCTCTCCCTTTGGCACATTAATTCCTGGCTCCCAGGCATTATCCCTGAAAGGCCAAGAGAGGAGACAATGGTTCTGTCCTACTGCTACTACCTCTTTCTGTTATCTCTGAGACAATCTGCAGCACTGGGGATCCAGAGAAAAAACACACCTGGCATTACAGGGATAATAGTACTCCATAAGATCCAGCCACCGACACACAAGAGGGGTTGGGGTGGGGAAAAGAGGGCCAGCACTCAAGTCCTTTCCCACCAAGCGGAGCTGCTTTTCTGAAAGGACGCGAGTATGAAGTTGCTAACCCAGGCAGAGAGGGGGTGATCCTGCAATAAGAACCATGCAGGTGGACTCCTGTGCCCACAAAATTCTCAATGTCGAATCTAGGCCTAAGTCTGTAGGGAAACTATTGACCCATGGGTTTGAAAAGTTATTACAATGGACAGGGCTTTAAAAAAAGCTTTATATACTGGTCACTGTCTATATGTAGCATACTTGTTTCCTACTACAAACTTTAATTCCATTAAGTATCAAAACACTCACAGCTTATTTAAAAATTTGCATTCTTTTATATGCCAAAGCATCTTACCTGTGCTTGTTCTGGAGTTTCTCCTGCAAAGTAAAAGATGTAATGTTCTTCACTAAAGTGCTGAACTACTATCTGAAAACAGTTTGGCCTTCAAAACAAACAAACAAACAAGAGTTTTAGTAACAAAGAGTAATATCTTCAGACTACTGACCAACTGCTTTGCTTGCTGATCTCTGGCAAAATACAAATATTTTTGGAAAATCTGAGCCAACACAGTTCAGTTGTTTGAATACAAACAGCATTAAAAACACAATCATTTTTTCTTCAAAAATATTCATCTTTTTTGGACAGCTGTAGCACTGAAGTGTGTGGGGATAGGAAGCTGAATTTTCACAAAGATAGAAGAAAAATACTTTTTGAGCATTTAAGTGAAAACATGTTTTGATTTCACTGAGTTATAAGCCTTTTAAAAAAAAATCGTACTTCACCTGTGTGCAGTACAACTAATATGCTTTAGAACATTTAAGGAACCTTTAGGACAAAGATAGATTGTACTGCACTGCACACATGCAGACGGGAATGCCTTTTCTATATAGCACAAAATATGGTGATGTCATCTTGTAAGGTAAAAGAAGCACGCTAAGATTCACTCATGTGGAATTGTCCCCTATGGACATTTTAATGCTGCATGAGATATGGTGCAATGTTGGTGTCTAGTCAAGTAGTTCCACATTATGGAGTTTCTTTCCACTTTCAAAAATCTTAGCAAGTTATGTTAAGCAAGAAAAAGCTAGGTTGCATGTACAGCCTTTACTCTGATGCTATAGTACATGCACATCAATTCATTACAATGTATGTATATGACTACTCACACATTCTCAATTATAGTATCATACAACTTTTTTGACAGCTTTAAATACACCTGAACAAACTTCTTTATTCTTGTATACTTGCACTATTTTCTTTGTCACAATGGTCCAGTTTTTCTCTGATAGACTTTTGATAGCAAAGTTATTTTCTATTTAAAGAATGTGTTTAATAATTTAGGCAAAATAGTACCCTGACCCTACACAACCCTATAAGGGGATATATCTGCCCTCTACCCCACCTCAGGTGTGGTCATGTAGCTGCTACTCCATTTGTGGCTGAAGCGCAAGGGTTCCAGGAAAGAAGGGGCTACACACCAAATACTCACCAGGTGAGCAAGTGGTCAGGGAAGGGACAAAGCTATGTTTCCTCTTGCACTCCAATCATCAGCCAGTGGAGCTGGCTCGGTAAAGGAGGAGTAAGCTGCATCCCACTACCACCCAGAACAAGAGAACAGCAGGGAAGGAATCATGACTGAGTCTGAATCCCTTCTTCATGACCTCCTGGTGTGGCTCAGCTGTGTGTTGTTCCTTACTCAGAGCCAAGCTGTAAGGCACAGTCTAGACCATACACAGCAGCCGTGCATTATCCAATTTAATTTCAACCAGCAGCAGTGTTCAGCAGTTCAGGAGGCAGCTTCAATTAACTATGCAACTAGTTTAGTTACAAATGTAGGTGGGCTATACATGCCAGCAAGTTTTCACTATTACTATGCAATACTTCTGTCTATTTATATGGCCCTCATCCCAGTGTTATCTGAATGCTTCCTAATTACTTAAAAATAGAATTAACAACCAGATGGAGCAAAGACATCAGAGCTTTATTATTTAAGGAGGACTGGAACTAAGTGTCAGCGATTCTTTCAACAGATATCTTCTCACTGAGTCTCTGCTATTCTCTTACTTAGGGATATTAATGTGGAGGTTTTCCAGAAGGCTCCTCTCTGTTTTTTGGTCATGGAAATGCCAATAATTTCAGCAGACTTGCGTCTAGCAATTTTTCAAAAATGTGAAAAAAAGTCCATTTGATTTAAGTGAATTTTTACATTCAGGTTGCAAAAACTCTTATTTTAATGGATTATGTTATGGTTATGTATCTATTCTTATTTGGTGTAAGCAACTAGTTATAACACAGAATGGTTTTGAAAAGCTTTTTTAATAACGGATTAACAAAAAAGGTACTAAGAATCATTTCTTGCTATTTACAAATTCAATTTAAAAATTCCACTCACAATTCTTAACCTTTTTACTACTGACCACCACTATGATCTCCACAACCTCCTGTGAGTAGCAGACTTTGACCACAAATAGTTCACTGGGCCTTTACTATGTATGTGACTCAATATTGCATGTGTTCTCTGCATCATGTACCTGGTATGTTAAAACAAAAGCAAAGCTGATTGTTCTTTTTGATCTCTTCCTAGTGATTATAGTCTTTCCCAAAAATGGTTTATATCAATTAGCTTCCATTCTGCTTTAATATTGGTTTAACATCAGAAGAGCTTTCCTACTTGAACATTAAAACTCAATGGAATAGTTTTTAACCATCTTAACTTTCAGCTGATATCTAAGCAAAAGAGGGCTCATTTCGTTGCAATTTCAACAAGGTTTGGTCTCTATCCAAAATTTTATAATATGACATACGTTATTCAATTACCATTTTAATGAATGCAGTGTGCTCTATTTTTGATGGGTGGAACACACAGTGTGCTCAATGTTGAGTTAATATATTAATCTAAAAGCCTGAGTGGTTATCCTGCCTATTACTTCAAACTAGAAACTTCTGATACTTTAAGAGTTCTAACATTTCCAACATGTTTAATTTATTGCCCTGTTGAAAGAGAAGTATATGGAAATAAATGAAGTTATGCACCTATAAAATTTTAATATTTAAACAGTGTACAACTGCAGACATGGGAACTGAAAGCTACTATCTTACCTGCCAAACAGACTGTCATGAACTCCATAGACAGAACACACACTGAGATCTATTAAACCTTTGGGCTTTGTAGCTCGCTTTTCACTTTCAAAATAAATAAGCTGGGCGTCATTCCCCTCTAAAATAAAGTACAAATTCTTCCATCGCTTTCCTTTGCCTGGAGAAAAACAAACAAAAGCAGTTAAAAGTCCTGTTAACATATTGTAATCTTTTGCAGAATTTTTCCTAGGTCTTAATTAACACTACAGGTAAAAACTGAAGAGGGCAATTTCAAATTGCCAGATTTCAAAACAGAACAATAAACAGTTTAAACATTTAGTACAATCTTTTCTTGCAAATTAAGTTAGTGTATCTTAGCACAGGAAAAGCTCTGTTATCTTGCATGTTGAGGGAATGGGGAGTGCCAGTTAGTCAAAAATTCTGGTTAACTACACATGAGTTATATTTACCAATGGAGGGAGGGAGTTTGGGTGCGGGAGGGGGCTCAGGGCTGGGGCACGGGAGAGGGTGCAAGGCACGGGCTCTGGAAGGGAGTTTTGGTGTGGGAAGGGTTTCGGGGTGCCGGATCCAGGCGTGCTCACCTCGGGTGGCTCCCCACAAGCGGTGATGACATGTGCCTGCTGCTCCTAGGCGAAGGTGCGGCCAGGCAGCTATGTGCGCTGACTCCGCCCCCACGGTTCCCAGCCAATGGGAGCTGCAGAGCCAGTGCTCGGGGAAGGGTGGGGGCAACACACGGAGCCCCTGTGGCCGTTCCTCCACCTAGGAGCAGCAGGGACATGTCGTCACTTCCGGGGAGCCACGCAGAGCCAGGCAGGGAACCTGCCGGACCCACACCAGCAAACTTTTAATGGCCCGGTCAGCACTGCTGACCGGAGCCGCCAGGTTCCTTTTTGACCAGGTGTTCCAGTCAAAAACCGGACACCTGGAAACTCTATTGAAGATTTGTATTGGGAGATAGCAGAAATGTCAATTTCTAGAGCTTTCCGATTGGTAAAGTGCCAGATAACACAGCTTTTACTGTATACAGACTGTATCTAAAAGGGCTCAAATTTGCACAATAGTAAATCCAAACTACACTTTTGGTCTCAATCATGTAATCAGATATGTTCAAATTGACCCCTGTGCAGTTTAAGAGACTTCAATAGGACTCAGCAAAGCCATAAGGGCTGCCTGCATAAAGTCCCGTACATGTCAATGGACAAAGAGGCCCGTCTTTCAAGATACAATTAGATCTGAACAGTTTGCAAACTAAGGCACTGTCCCTGCAAACAATTCAATTTAATGCAGTGCTTTGATTGAAAATACAAAATAAAGATAAATAAAAAAGTACTGGACTCTGGACACACTACAACCATTCAGAAACTAGGTATTATATTATGTAGCTTGCTCCATGAAGTGCTGTTTATGGCCAAGGTCTCTGAAAAGCTGCATTATTTTCTTGAGAAAATAGATGCTGCACCTCTTTAATTTGTCGCTCACCAAGGCACAAAGGACAGCACATGTGGGGGTGTAGAGGCCCCACACAGGGGAACAAAGGGTTAAAGAGCAGCTCTGGGCTCACAAGTCCCCACGCAGCCGCACCTGCTGGGCATGCTCGCAATGGAGGCAGAGTTCAAAAGGGAAGGGTTCAGCTCAGTCAGAGCAGACAGAGCAAGGGAACAGTCCTACACTGATAGCTCCTGCAGAGGCTGCAGGATCCCCACACCACCTGGACCAGACCCTGCTGCAGAGCTATCGAAGGCCCCATGAAGAACAGGAATGGACAGGAATGCAATTGAAGAAGAGCCTCTGGACTACTGTCAGTGAGAACCACCCCGGGAGTTCATAAGCTGACCCCGTTTGTGATTTTGGATGGGGCTGAGAACATAGTAACCAATGTCCAGGGAGCAGGATTGGTGGTGTCTGCCCTCTAGGCCGCATAGCCAACTGGCCAGTCATAGGGCACTGGGTTGGAACCTGGTGAAGCAGGGAGGGCTCGGATTCCCTTACCACAGGCCAGCACAGGCTGGGCAGAACGCCCATGGATTCTCGCCATTTGGCGGCACTGCTGGGCTCAGATGTCGTACCCCACAACAGGAATAGACACCCCATATGACACACAGCGCTTAAAGTCTGGATATCACTGGTACCTAGCACGGGACTGACTAACATTTGAAACAATAACAGCAAAAAAACCCCAAAACCTATTTATTGGGTACTTTTAACGAATAATTGACTATTTACAAGGCAGGAAGAGAGATAACTAGCTAACTATGCACAAGAAACTGAGAAAAAAACTCTATATTCCTATTTATCTATCCAGAGATCACAATAGCCCTTCTAGCCACAGCATCACACTCAGAGCTCATGTTCAGCTGATTATCCACTGTGACCCCCAAATCTCCTTTCAGATTCCCTGCCTGACCAGTATAGAGACCCCTATGCTGTACATGCAGTCTGCTTTCTTTGAGTAATTTTGAACAAGTTATCAAAATATAAGAATGTAATTTAATTTTCAGGAATCTGCTTTATACTTAGAAGTAAAATGTTCTCACTTTTTTTCAGAAGATACCCTTTTTTGACAATATTTTTATAAAAAGCATCCTTTGTTTTTCGACGAATTGTATTATAGATTTCTTTTCCATCCACTGTATCATTAAGCACTTGTTCTTGATGCTGGTAAAGAAAAATAATAGCCATCAGTATTTTTCAGTTCAGAAATATCAGATTGATTATAATGCTGAAAATGGAAATATTCTTACCGATGTTCTTTATTTTCAAATATCTCTTGTAATCTTATGCTACTTAATAAAAGGACTGATCGGTTTTCGTGATGTCATTTCTAATAACACACCCTCTGTATATTTTCCTACATTTATATCACATCACACTTGGTTAGTGTGGAATAGTTTATGTGGTTTATTCTGAGAGATGGAAAATAAAAATTGACCTGCTCCTACTTGCTAAAGAACACACATGGAGTGTGCCCATCTCATTATGTATGCATAGAGAAATAGAAAGAAGGATACACAGTTTAGTTATTTCCCATACAGAGAGTGTTTTCTCAAAGTTTACATTAGATAACCTTTTAAAACTTTTTCACTACTGCATGTCTTTTATTAAGGACATTGTGCCTCGATACTTCAGGGAGAAATCTAAAGAAGCCTTGCAGTGAAAAAACAAGGTGCACAGGTCAAAATTAAAAAGCTTCAACAGGTCTGGGTGAGGAAGATTGCACAGTTCTTCTCTACAATGCATCTGCTTCATAATATGGCTATTTTGACCCTCATTTCACAGAAAATAAAGAAACTTAAATTCGGGGTAAATGAAACAGATGTGAGACTAGGACAGTGGAGAAAAAAGCCAGAACAGCTAAGCCAGAAAGTATGTTAAATATATTGGACAGTACATAACCTAAGAGAAAATATTAGTTTTTATCTTTACTCTGATATTATTATTGTCTATGCCATTTGTAACAGACTGTTCTAACTAAATTATAAATTAGTTGATATCAGTTAGACCAAGTACTGTCTTCACTCTAAAAACCCCACACTCTTTAGAAATATTATGTGGCATTAAATGTCTCACCTGCATTGGGACAGGGTCTTTTAGGTAATATCCTTCAACAATTTGTTCTTTTCTGTAGTGCTCAATGATATCAGCAATACTGTTCAAATAAAAAATTATAAACTTTGAATAAGTTTTTTTTTGCTATAAATCTTTTTTCCAACATAAAATTCACACATTAAATTTCTCACATAAATCTTTAATAAAATCACATGCTAAGAAAGGCGATCTCACTTGTATCAGCCAGAATACAGGAGTCAGTAATCACATATTTGAGTTCTGCTAATAAAAAACATATGAATCCTAAACTAATCTTACAATCTTACAGAGTTTAAAACTGTTGCTCAAAAGGCTAGCTGATGAGGACATAGAAAACTCAATGATCAAGTAAGGGCAAATACATTCCCGCTATTCAGCCAGGCTGAAAATTGTTATTTTATCAACAATAATTTTCCAAGTCTCATCATCACTAGGGAAGGGGAAGGGGAGACATTTCACTGTGCAAAGCAATTTCTTTCTAGGGGGGTGGGAATGTCAAATAGAAAAGGTCTGTAACACAGATTACACAGCTCATACTTAGAAGTCACTGAGCAATCATGTTAAATTAAATACTCGTCAGCAGAACTCCTCTACAGGGATGCTTGCATTCTAATTACCAGAGGGAATCAGGTTGAAATTGTATTTTGAAGAATCCAGGATTGGGAGGTGGCAATAGATGAACACTAAAATTCAACATATTTCTTTGACTTTCTTTTACTTATTTATGCATAGTTCTTATTGAAATATCCTTGATTTAAGTTAGAGTGCAATGACGAACAATATGTAGGGATTCTTAGCACACTCTATTATACAGAATATCAACCTGAAAATAAAAACAGTTAAATAATTAAACACAAAATACATGAGCAAACATTTTAATAAATATTATTATTTGGAAGTACACCTCTACTCCGATATAACGCGACCCGATATAACACGAATTCGGATACAACGCGGTAAAGCAGCGCTCCGGAGGGAGGGGGGGCGGGGCTGTGCGCTCCGGCAGATTAAAGCAAGTTTCACCCTATAACGCAGTAAGATTTTTTGGCTCCCAAGGACAGCATTATATTGGGGTAGAGGTGTATGTGAAAATACATTCATCAGGGCATATGTGATGGAATCTTTGGCCAGAGTTACACTTGCCAATGTAAATTGTGCACAAGGCTCTCAGATGAATGGATTAGGTAGAAGAATCTAAACAGAATATGTGTAAGGTTTCATGCGCTAGTTTGTGCATTGTTTATTTCAGAGTCATTAAGTGTCTTCATTTGGTATTGTGAGTTTGATATTTCAAGAGTTAATGGAATGCATTTTGTGTATTTGATGCTTAAGGGTATTTCCCACCAAATTGCTTAGTATGGATTACGTTTTTATTTTAAAGGTCATCTCAAGGGACCTTTCTGGCACTACTACTAACCCCTGTAGCCCTCTAGGTGCAAACTGGCAGGGGTCCCTGTGTCACAGCTGACTTATTAAAAATATCACTGTTCACTTTTTATTAAGATGAAATATAGCAAAAATATTTTCTGCACTCCAGAAATGACATTTTAAATTTAAATTAATAGAGATATCCTATCTCCTAGAACTGGAAGGGACCTTGAAAGGTCATTGAGTCCAGCCCCCTGCCTTCACTAGCAGGACCAAGTACTGATTTTGCCCCAGATCCCTAAGTGGCCCCCTCAAGGACTGAACTCACAATCCTGGGTTTAGCAGGCCAATGCTCAAACCACTGAGCTATCCCTCCCCCTTTTACCATCATCTCACTGACTATGATAAGATTATTATGCACTACTCTGTGTTGAGCTGCAGTAATCAGCATCCCTTATCATGAAAGCAACATTGAATAAAGCAGCTTGGCAAAATTCTACTCGCCCACTCACCCAGATTCAGTAACTGACAGGCCACTAATATTTTTTTCTCTCATTGTTGTAAAAGTTGGCAAGTAGATTTTGTGCTAAGGCTGATAAATTCTCATTAGAATTTTGCAAGCTGAAGTGTTATGTGAAAAGAAACTGACACTTACTGTAATTATGGTTCTTCAAGATGTGATGCAGACATGTATTCCACGTATGTGTGTGGGCCCAGCGCACCAGAGCTGGAAACTTTTGCCTAGCAGTACCCGTAAAGGGACAGCAACTCACGCCTTGTGGCTGTGGCACCTCCATTTGCTATATGAGGCGGCGGCATCTCAACCCACCTCAGTTCCTTCTCATTGAAAGCCCAGGAGGAGACTTTGATGCAGAGGGGACAGAGGGTGGGTCGTGGAATACATGTCTGCATCACATCTCGAAGAACCACAATTACAGTAAGTGTTTCTTCTTCTTCTTCAAGTAGATGTAGACGTGTATTCCACGTAGGTAACTCACAAGCAGTACCCCATCCAGGAGGTGGGGCTCGGAGTCTACTGAAATAGGGATTGCAGGACTGCCCTTCCAAGGCCTGCATCCACTCTGGAAAATGCGGAATAGCATAGTGCTCCATAAACGTATCTATGGACAACCACGTTGCCTCCCTGCAAACATCTAGTATAGAAATGTCACTGAGGAAGCTATCGACATTGCTTTCACTCTTGCAGAGTGAGCCTGTATCCACTGAGGAGGTGTAGCTGAACCTCTCTCATGCGCTGTTTGAGACAGGATGTCTGTGCAGAGATTGCTTGCCCCTTCATGCAGTCCACATATGACATGAACGGGCTAGGTGAAGCACGAAATGATTTAGTCCTGTCTAGATAAAAGGCTAGACATCGCCTGACATCCAGAGTATGGAGGCACTTTTCTTCCGGGGAAGAGTGCGGCTTTGGGAAAAACACAGGTAAAACGCCTGTTTCAGATGAAACTGAGAGACCACCTTGGATAAAAACTTTGGGTGTGGTTGCAGCATTACCTTGTCCTTGGCTGACCTGCCTTACACACAGTCCTCCATCAGGGCATGCAACTCACAAACCTTTCTCGCAGATATGATAGTTATCAGGAATGCAGTTTTCTGAGACAGGCCGCAAGGGACTTGAACGGAGGGCCATTAAAGCAGTAAAAACATGTTTAGGTTCCACAGGGGAAAGGACAGTTACCTGTTCCGTAACTGGCATTCTTCGAGATGTGTTGCTCCTGTCTATTCCACAGTAGGTGTGCGTGCTCGCCACGTGCACCAGTGCCGGAAGTATTTCCCTTAGCAGTATCCGTAGTGGGGGAGCACCGCTGCGACCCCTGGCGTGGCGCCTCTATATCGTGCTATAAGGGGAGCTGCGCACTCCCCCCACCCTCGGTTCCTTCTTGCCAGACAATTCTGACAGAGGGGAAGGAGGGCGGGATGTGGAATAGACAGGAGCAACACATCTCGAAGAACGCCAGTTACGGAACAGGTAACTGTCCTTTCTTCTTCGAGTGATTGCTCCTGTGTATTCCACAGTAGGTGACTCCAAGCTATATCTGATGGAGGTGGGTAGTAGTTTAAAGGTTATCAGGACATAGTACCGCCCTACCAAACCCGGCAACATCCCGTGCTTGGGAGACAATCGCATAGTGTGAGGAAAAGGTGTGGACAGAGGACCACGTGACAGCCCTACATATGTCCTAGATAGGGATGTGGGCTACATAGGCGGTCAACGAGGCCTGCGCTCTCGTAGAATGCGCCTTTACGATAGGCGGCGGGGGAACCGCTAAGTTGTAACATGTGCGTATGCACGAGGTGATCCAGCGGGAAAGGCGCTGGGTGGAGACTGGTTGCCCTCTCATATGCTCGGCCGATGCAACGAACAGTTGCGAGGATTTCCTGAATGGCCTGGTACGGTCCAAGTAAAAGGCAAGCGCCCTACACACTTCTAGCGTGTGTAGGCGGCGTTCCTCGTTAGAGGAATGGGGCTTAGGACAGAGTACCGGTAGGAAAATGTCCTGTTCCATATGGAAGGCGGAGATCACCTTGGGGAGAAACGCAGGGTGTGGGCAAAGCTGGACCTTATTCCTATGGAAGACCGTATATGGGGGTTCCGAGGTCAAGGCCCTAAGCTCCAAGACCCGACGGACTGAGGTGATAGCCACCAAGAATGCTACTTTCCATGACAGGTGGGACCAGGAGTACGTGGCCAAGGGTTCAAAGGGAGGGCCCGTGAGGCGGGACAGCACTAGATTCAGAACCCATTGCGGGACTGGGTCCTTGGCGTATGGAAAAGTACGATCTAGTCCCTTTAAAAAGCGGGAGGTCATCTCATGGGAAAACACCGAGTGACCCTGCACTGGAGGGTGAAAGGCTGAAATGGCCGCTAAATGTACCCTGACGGAGGCCGGAGCTAAACCTTGGGTCCTAAGGGACAGGAGGTAATCTAGAACAAGTTGGAGGGATGCGGATGACGGGGAGTCACCCCACTCCGTCGCCCACCTAGGAAACCTAAACCATTTGGCCAGGTAGGTCTGTCGTGTAGACGGCTTTCTGATCTCCAGCAGAATTCTTCTGACATCCTCCGAACACCTTCCCTCCTCCTCGTTTAACCATGGAGCAACCACGCTGTCAAGTGAAGCGCGGCTAGGTTGGGATGGAGAAGGCATCCCCTCTGCTAGGAGAGGAGATCCGGGCGGAATGGCAGCCTCCATGGGGAGGCCGCTAACAATTGCAGGAGGGTCCCGTACCAATCCTGGCGGGCCCAATCCGGGGCTATGAGGCTGACCCTCGACCTGTCCGCCTTTACTTTCTGTAGGACCTTGCCTATCAGTGGGAACGGTCGAAAGGCATAGAAAAGTTGGTCTGACCACCATATGAGGAATGCGTCCGAGATTGCCCCCCTTTCTGCCCCTGCCCTGGAGCAGAACTGGGCAGTAGCAAAGAGATCTATCTGGGGAGCTCCCCACTCTCGGAAGAGTTGCTGGGTGACCTCCCAGTGGAGTGACCACTCGTATTGGTGGGAGAAAACCCTGCTGAGGCGATCGGCTCGCGTATTGCGCGTGCCGGGTAGGTGAAAAACCCTCAGAGAGATGTCTTGGGCTATACAAAATTCCCATAGGTCCAGGGCTTCCTGGCACAAGGCCGAGGAGCGCGTGCCCCCTTGCCTATTGATGTAATACATCGCAGTCG